CACGTACACATACACACACGCATACACACTCACACACACACTCACACACAAACACACTCTTAACTACAACCTCCTCCTCTGGCGAGTGGACACTCTCACACTTGTTTTTCTCGTCCGCTTTTCGGTCAACGTTTTCTCATCGAGGTAGTGTTTTCTGAAAGTGGAGATTGAAGCTTGACACGTGGCAATATCTTCTGGAATTCATGAACATTTGTTCGATTTTTTTGTGTCTGGAATTCATGAAAATTTGTTCGATTTTCTTGTTATCGTTCTTTAATGAATGCGTCGGATGTATGATGGTCGTCGTCGTCATTGTCTTTCATGTTATGGTATTTTTAGCTCTGTCGTGTTCTCCCCCTCCTTTCGCCTGTAGGGTTCGAACCATTGCCGAACTTGATGATGGTAAATGAAAGCCGGGGAAAAAAAAAGCCCCTCCCACGAATCGCTGAACAATGTTTTCATAGTAATTTTATACTCGTTTTGAATTGTTTAAAGAAAGTCAAAATATAGAAGAAGAGCTCGGTCACGATCTCACTAGCCATTCTCCCGCACGCCCGAGAGCTCGATAACTCAGGGGTTCGAAAACCCGTCCCCCTTCCCCTCTCCCCCCCCCCTCCCTCCTCCCTCCTCCTTTACAGGTTCTTCGATTTATGCGTGTCATCCTTGAATGCGCAGGGGCCATGCTAATCTTCTCTCTCTCGGTATCGTTCCAATCCATTTAACGGATGTCCCGAAGGACACACGCGTTTTTCTATGTGAAGCCAGCGAGCACCAAAGAACAAAAAGCGGAGAGTTGTTGTTGTTGTTGTAAAAGAAAAGAAAAAAATACCGAGGGACCAGTGAGCCTAGCTGTACTTCCATGAACTGTTGAAAATTTACACAGACCTAAGTTCGAATCCAGATGATGGACTAAATGAATGAAATGAGGTATTTCTGGATTACCCAGGGCTGGTCAGCTCAATCGCAATGGCGATATCTCAAGCACGTTGCCCCTTCTTTTTTTTTTCTCAAGAAAATGAAGAAAAAGAGGAAACAAAAAATAGCGAGAGATCACGGGGGACGTAGTAGGGCGTCATCATTGCGTCTTGTTTGGCGGACACGTGGCCTTTTCGTTTATCCAATTCCCGGATAGAATCGAGCGGACAGGATCAGTAGTAAGAGGCTAAGAGCTATGTGGCGGATGTGATACGATCTCTTTTATCAAATCGCATACACTGTATAGTAGAGATGGGAAGGAGATCCTTTGGGCTGTCGGTGAGCGAACTAAAACATGACAGATCGTTGATCTTTAACGTTTCATTGTCAACGGCTGAGGGCTTTTGTTTTTCTTTCTTTATAAGGCTTTTTTTTTTTTTTTTGCGTGCAGCTGCAGTCCATGAAGTCGTTTGTATGGCAAAGGACTTATATAGTCGGTGAAACTCCGACGAAACAGTTTGCCACAGCCCCTCGTTTGGAAACAGTTTGCCACAGCCCCTCGTTTGTTGTCCTCTTCTCCCTCCCCTCCCTCTCTACCGGGCAGCTCTTCGACGGCTGTGTGCAAGTGGGTCGATATGACACACGGGGGTGGGGGCAGCCGCCGCTCAACCTACATCCACGTGGGCGGCCTTGTACGCAAGAGGTTCTGAACAGGGGGAGTTGTAAGGAAGAAGATATAAAAAAACGAATTCATTCCTTTTTCTTCTTTTTTTCGCTTTTGCGCTCTCATATTCATGTGATGACGATATATATGTACAATATATGAACCGACAGTCTGTAGATGCTGTCTCTTATACACATCTAGATGTGTATAAGAGACAGGTGTGTGTGTGTGTGTGTGTGTGTGTGTGTTTAGAGAATGTCTATCTCAGTATCTCTCGGTTTATCGTCCATGTTTGACGTTGTAGCCGTGATTTTGTTCTTTTGCTACCTCTTTCTCAGAGAAAGTTGTCATTGCGCAATTTGCGTTCTTTGAGAAATGTGTCATTGCGCAATTTGCCGCAGCGAAGTGTGCAGCCAATAATTAGTGCATGTCATCGTGATCCGTTTCCAGGATCCATGACGTCGTTGTGCAGAAAAGTTTTTTGCTATTTCCGCATGGAAGTGACGTGGTTGTGGAGAGAATTGCACAATTTCTGCATGGAGCTTACGTAGTTGTGCACTTCTTTTTTTGGATTAATTTAATTTACTTATTTTGCGCAACTTTTGCATGGAACTTATGGAACCGCATTTGTGCAGAAATTGTGCAATTTTCTGCACTTGAAGTGACGTAGCTCTGTTTTTTTTTTTTTTTGTGTTTGCAAGTTTTAATTTTGTTTATTTATCTATTTATTTTGCGGAAATTTTGCATGGAAGCGTCGAAATTTGTGCAGAAATTGCGCAGAAATTGTGCAGTTTTCTGCGTGGAATTGACGTAGTTGTGCAGAAAATGCAGTCACTGAAGATGCATTGTTTATTTGTCTATTTATTTTGCGGAAATTTTGCATGGAAGCGCCGAAAACTGTGCAGAACTTGCGCAGAAATTTTGCTGTTTTCTGCGTGGAATTGACGTAGCTGTGCAGAAATTGCAGTTACTCAAGAATCAAGATGCAATTGCAGGTGAAAGAAAGAAAGCGAAGTAACAAGAAAAAAAAAGAAAAAAAAAGAAAAAAAAAGAAAAAAAAAGAAAAAAAAAGAAAAAAAAAGAAAAAGACAAGTAAGCAATGCCCAGCATAGCCAGCTCTTGCTTACAAAAACATGTTTGTCAAAGATCATCAAACTTGAATACGCCAAATGCGTTCACGACGGTGAGACCGCGTGCGGCACATGCGGTGAAAACGACGACGCGGCGCTTTTTTTTTTGCATTATCGTAAGCGAGTATTGTTATATTATTGTAGGCTGGGTGGTGGCTGATAACGCGCGCGGCACAGGCGGTGGTGCTGCTCCAGAATGTGCGTAAAGCCTCCCGGCTGAGCTGCTGTTAATTAAACAACAATCACTGGAATCACCTTTCAGTTGTGATGGATCGATTTTGCATCGGTCGATAAAAACGACGACGACGACGACGATCATCCTGGCGCGGACTTGCGTTCGCCATCGCCATCGCCATCGCCATCGCCAAAAAAAAAATTGATTCTCCCTTCGGGACATCCGTTGTACTTAACGGGAACGATTCAGAGAAGAGACGATTGGCATGGCCCTGGAATGCCTTGAAAAAGATTAGCATAAAAAAAAGACAAAAAGAGCGATGGAGGACAGTTTTGGGTTTTCTTTGAGCGATGACGATGTCCACAGGAGCAGCTCGCCATCGCCGACTTTCGACTCATCAGCCAATGTTGAATTGGTCGCCATGGCTGACTTCTCGATTCATCAGCAACGACGAAAATGCAAAACAGATGACGTTTTTGTTTCCCCCTTGTCCTTCTTGAAGGTTGACGAAGCCAGCGTCAATGTAAAACTTTTTCTTTTTTTTTTTTGTGTGTGTGTGTTTTGAAAGATGAGGATGGCAGTGTCAATGGGGATCACACGGACCCCATCAGCAGACGAAATGAATTCGCCAAGCTGGGGATCGTAATTGTACTGTAAATCTTGCCCCCGCCCGTCCGGCTCCCCAACACATACACACATACACACACACACACACACACACACACACTCTCTCACATACAGTCGTGCTTTTTTGAGTGTGTTGCGAATATGATAACACACACTCACATTCACACACACACACACACACTTACATACACACACACACACACACACACACACACACACACACACACACACACACACACACACACACACACACACACACACACACACACACACACA